AAATAGGAGCTACAGAAGGGTGACTAATTGTGGGCAGGGACGGTGGCCGACTGATATGGACAAGAAACGGGAGCAAACCTGCTACTTACCAGGGATCTTTTAACTAGCAAGTTCCCACTTGTCTGCAATTTGCTTTAAACGGTACGGGTCCCCCAGGGACCGGCATCGCTCGCTGTCACGCGCGTTATGTATTTGCTGTAAAGGAAGGAAACATAACACTGCTAAGTAGCTGTGTCCAAACGAGAATCGCAGCGGAGCGATTGGCGTGGAATGACCTTCTCAGTTGGCCTTGCTTCTCTTTCTGTGGGCCGGGCAGCCTGCTTATTGAGCAGACAGTAATCAGATCCGGGCTTCACCCAAAGGGTTCGCCTGCTGAAGTTCTCTTTTGAAAGCAGTGACATTTTCATTAGAAGATGGAAAAGGCGCATCCCATACTTTATTCAAAATAGAGTCAATTATTCATTAATGTTCATGTAAGGATGTCTGTGTGGTGGGGTGCCGGGGGGGGGGGGCTTGCAGCTTGAAGGTCAGGTATTGCAGAGAAGGCATCAACAGTTTGGAGTCTTCACCCGGAGCCTCTTTGCCTCCGGCCCAGTTCGGTGCAGCTCACCTCAAGGCAGAATGCAAACGGCGAAATTCGTTCTGAGCGTCCAAACCTCTTTCCACTTTGGAAGCTGCAAAGCCCCAAAACCAGTTTGTTCTACTCAGTGTTCAAAGAGGTCATAATAGGAGGTCAGTTGAAGAACAGGGATGGGGAAGTCCATGTATTCTTTGACTCCTAAGTATCATTAGACTTCAGGCTGATTTCCAGCCTGAAGAAAAGCAGAAAGCCGGGGAAAGGTTGGAAGCCCTTCTTTTCTCCCGTCTCGTGCTCTCCCTCTGTCCAAGACCAACAACATTAAGCCTCTTCTCCTTTCTGTGACCCACAGAAATTGCTTTCTGCAGCGAAGGGTGATGGATTTACATCCCTGTGATTTAGATGGGACTTGGAGCGTTCTGCACTGGTATGTCCAGGAACCAGCCCACATTAATAAATATTGTTCATATGTGCTTTCAGTATTTATAGTGTCTGACCTCACAGGAGAGATATTATCCCCTTGGCCTCCAGCATAGAAAATCATCCTTGAACTGAATATGCTTAAAATCCAGACAAGATGTTGGCACAGGACTGGGGGGCAGCGAGTAGAGAGACTCCGCTTTCCCTTTTTACTCCCAGGCAAAATGTTTGCTTTACTCCTTCGCTTCCTCCTCCTCCTCGCCCAAACCTCCTTTCCCACGCAGCTCTCCTGCTTACTCAGGACCAGAAGTTCCTTTTCCCCCATGAAGAGAGAAATAATGTGTGTGTTCAAAAGAGGGTGGAGGGGTATATTTTAAGACAGACTGGCTGGAACAGAAAGTCAAGCAGCCTCTTTGGGGCTCCCCACCCCGTTTATTCTTCTGCCCAGCGATCAGTTTAGCGGCTGTTCACGTGTCCCTTTGCAACATTTCGGCTGGCACAGGCAGAGAGCCATAGATTCAGTTTCCAGACATTATAAATGCATTGGCTTTAATATGTTTGCATTCCGTTCGGATTTCATTTGACAGTGGCTTATTTTATTTTATGTTTAAAAAAGCTTCAACTACAATTGAAACGGGGGGAAAATACCGAGCAGATCAGCCATTGCCTTCTCGTAAACTGATTTTTACATACCCCGGCAAAAGACTAGTTATTTATTTAATTGCTTACTTAAAGCATTTCTATACTGTCAGATTAGCATAATGCTCTCAAAACAATTTACACAAAATAAAACTTTATTTGTGCAACAAAATAGGTTGGCAGTTTTGCCCACATGGCAAAGCTGAAATCCAGTTCTACCCCTGTTCTCAGTGATGCAGTCCGAACACAGGAATTTCGGGTTTTAAACCTTGCTTCTGAATCTTTCCGTGGATCTGGATTGGACTCTTGAAAAGGAGAAGGTCCCATTTAGAGGAAACACCCAGAAAATAATTTGCAGGATTAGCTGTTGGGTGCTAAGATGCCAGGAGTGTCCAACAGTTGCTCTGTTGTCGCATTGGCTCACTTTTCAATTATATCTTGATGCTGCCAGAAAGGAGCAGACAATTGAAGGCAGAAGGACGAGAACACACAAGAGGTAGTGTTGTACAGTGGTTAGAGCACGCGACTGGGACTTGTGAGATCCGGGTTCTAGTCCCTGCTCAGCCAGCAGGGTGACTTTGGGCCAGTCACAGACTCCCTGCTCAGCCTGCCTCACAGGGTTGTTGTTGTGGGGAGAAGTTTGAGAGCAGCGGGAGAAGGCTGTCAGCTGCTTTGTAAGGAAAAAGGCAGGGTATCATCTAATAAGCAATAAATAGCAGCAATAACATACTGCCGTTTAAAACGTTCTCTCCAGGAATGGTATGGTATTTAACTCCTCCTGCTTCTTTTCTGCGAGTTCTTCAGACAGCCCGAGAACCAGGACAAAGCTTTCTTCTTGGGCTAATAAAATTTAGGCAAGACGATCTTTGCAACCAGTTGGAGAGAAGGATCTTTACTTCTCCAGAATTGCGTAGTGTTTATTACCATTGTTTAAAAAATAATCCCAGTTGGTCATCTGAGGTATATTAAAACCCATGGACTACCGATGCTGCTGAAATTTCGGTCATTCGCATTTAGCATTCATTGGTAGGGATTTTGCTCTGAACAGCTCTGGTTCTGGGACGGCCTTTGGAGAACTGGGGAGGGTATTGGGGTCAGAGCTGCCAATTAACCTCCTGATTTCAGGAGCTTGATTGCTCAATTAATCAGGGAGCTCAGGCCAGCCAAGAAGACGCCCCCTAGGGATGCCAGGAAGGGGCCACCTTGTCTCAAACAAGCTGCATCAGATCTGGAACATGCTCCCCTCTGCGGCTTCCAAGTCACAGAAAGAAACCGGAGAGAAAGGTGTGAGGCTATCAATCATTAATTAAACAATTGATTAATTAATGCAACTAACCATGCTAATATGAAACTCCAGCGGAAAACCTGCAGAAATGGATGACATCACCCTGCCGACAAAAGTGCGTCTAGTCAAGGTGATGGTTTTCCCAGTTGCAATGTGTGGCTGTGAAAGCTGGACCATAAGGAAGGCTGAGCGCCGAAGGATTGAGGCCTTTGAACGGTGGTGCTGGAGGAGACTCCTGCGAGTCCCCTGGACCGCAAGGCGATCAAACCGGTCAGTCCTGGAGGAGATCAGCCCTGACTGCTCTTTAGAAGGCCAGATCCTGAAGATGAAACTGCAATACTTTGGCCACCTAATGAGAAGGAAGGACTCCCTGGATAAGAGTCTAATGCGGGAACAATAGAGGGCAAAAGAAGGAGGGGACGGCAGAGGATGAGGTGGCTGGATGGGGTCACTGAAGCAGTTGGTGTGAGCTTAAGTGGACTCCGGGGGATGGTGGAGGGCGGGAAGGCCTGGAGGAGTGTTGTCTATGGAGTTGTGATGGGTCGGGTGCGAATTTGCAACTAACAACAACAACAGCACATCTTTTCCCCATCTGCTCCCACATTCCTGTGTCCTGAATCCTCGGCTGTAACACCCGTTGCCTGTGTTTGTCGGGTGCCTTTCAGTCTGTTGGCCACTCAATTTCTTGGTGGAAGCAAATAGATTTTGCGGAATGCATTTGAAATTATTCGAGCCTATTTGTGCCTGTTTCCCCCCCCCCCCCCATGTGCCAATTTTTGCAAAATGCACAAACGCTCTCAAAAGGAGATATTTTCACACATTCACATATGGAGGAAATGCACATTTTGAGTCTACTTTACCTCTTTTATACAACTAAATTGTGGAAAACTACCCAATATTTTTTAAAAAATGGTCCACGTGTCCACAGAACCCGCGTGACTTGGAAAAAGCCAGTCTGCTGCGGGATCTCTGGGTGAGGTTTTTAGAAATGGGAAAATTCCTAAATTTCTCCTATATCTAAATCCTCACGGTCACAGAAGGGAACGAGAAGCGGAGGACTTGGGAAACACGTGCCTTTGTTTGTAAGTTACAGGAGTGGCTGTATCTTTGCTCTCCCTGGACTGCTGCATTGATAAAACAAACTGACTTGAGCCGCGTCTCCCCATGTATATTTATCTAAAGCCCGTCTCCGTAATTAATGGGGGGATAAATTGTGGCTTAATTACTCAGAAAGCACCTTGGGTGAAAGATTCATGGTAATTGTTGTGTATCCTCTTGAAGGATTCACAATGCTGGCAGCGATCTAGCATTAACATGCTGGTGCAAGTTCACACACACACACACACACACACACACCCGAGAGAGAGAGAAAGAGAGAGAGAGAGAGAGCGAGCGCGCGAGTGCACGCACGCACGCATGCACGCACGGGAGGGATGCTCTTCAGAGCAGGATATTTTTCTTTTGAGTCTCGCCTTTTCTCCATAACGTGCACGGTGGTGTCGGTTCCCCTTCTGCATTATTTCTGTACATTGCAGCTCACCAAGGGTTTTTTCCAGGCAAAAAAAGGAACACACAAGGCCGGCGTAAAGGTGGTGGCGTGTGGGTCAATTCATACTAGAAAACATTTGGATTCCTATCAGCTTGTTCCGCAGGGCCAGATCACGAGGTGTCTGCTTTGATTCTCTCCGTGATCTCTTGCCTGCCTTGAATCACCTTAAAGGAACGTGAGACGGGGCAGCAATTCCGATCTGTAGGATCTGCGAATCACCCTTGGGGCTGGTTCCCTTTTGCTTGGCTTCCTTCACGGATACTGGCCCAGGGTGGACCAGCTCGGATGTTCATACCTTGACCAGTCCCTCTCATGGCCGGACTGAACGGCTGTCTGTCCGCACATCAATGGTCTTGCGGCATTGGCCTCGGCCCCAAAACAAGCCTGCAAACTTTTTGGGTTTTGCTTTGCTTTGCTTTCCGCTCCGTTGGTGCCTTCTCGACCCCTTTCGTATTCCAGCATTTTCTAACCGACACCAAGAAAGAAAGGCAAGAGTCTTAATAAAATAATGTTATCCTCTTGGTTTGCAGAACTGAAGAAACAGGTGGAGAGTGCGGAACTGAAAAACCAGCGCCTGAAGGAGGTTTTCCGGACCAAGATCCAGGAGTTCCGCAAAGTGTGCTACAAGCTGACGGGCTACCAGATCGACATGACGACCGAGAACCAGTACCGGCTCACCTCGGTCTATGCGGAGCACAGAGAAGACTGCCTCATCTTCAAGGTAAGCTCCGTCCACCCTCTCCCACCTCTGCTGGGCGCCTGAGCAAGATCTCTGTTTCCTTCCAGTCCTGTCTGCGGCTTCGTGCCGTCTCCAGCTGAGTTTTGGGCCGGCAACAGCAGCCCGGTATTCCTGCTGCGTTCCCTATGTCTCTGTGCCGGCAGAGCCTGCAAATGCTTCCGGGCATAAGGCCACTTGGAGCTTTCTGTTGGCTTTGTCCTCTCTCTTCTCAGGGAGGAGAGGTTCATCAAAGGTGATTTCTGGGGCTCAGCTTGAGCAAGACGGGGGTAATGTAGAGGCAAAGGATCCGCTGGGAGGCACCTGGCCTTGTTTTCAGGCGTTGGTGCGAGAGCACCGTGGGACTCGTCCTCCAGCGTCCACATGGAGACGTGCCCAACAAGCACTCCCTGTTCTGCAGCTTGGAAGGCTGGTGGATTGCCCCCTGCTGCAGCTCCAGGAAGCGCTTGTCTCCCCGGAGGTGGGCTGGAGGAAAGGATGGCGTTCTCTAGGGATACGGTGGTCCAGCAGCCAGTTCGTGCCTGGGCAGACCCGCTGGAAAAGGGACATTTCCCAGTGTGGTCGGTATGGGAAGCCCGGCCTTCACACCTAGTCTTGGAAACAGATGTGGCTCTGGCAATGTGTGGGCCGAGGCGAGCAAGGACATATGCCCCAATTAACTGCCTCGCCGGTGAAGAAGCCCTGAGCAAGGCATCCAGCAGGGTTCCTCCAGCCAGAATGATATGGAGGGCTCTTTTGAAAGCCTCTGCTAGCACTTGCACGGGGTGGGCACGTCTCAGCTTTACAGCTCTCTGTCTCCTTTTTTTAATTAAATTTGGTGCAAGTTCTCATCTAAACGCTCCACCAGGATTTTAGATGCAGATGATTTTGTGGAAAGTAATATATTACAATTATCGGTCTTTTGGCAGATGTAGTCTATTACTGTTGCTGGTTCATTAAAGGTCTTAGTTGGTTATACATATTTCTTTCATTTATGTAAATGGCTGTAATGTACAAGCAACTCAATGGTGTATACAGAAGCCACGCTTATTTAGCGTTCTCCCCGCTGTTGCCACCAGATTGGAAGTTTTTCCAGCTCTGATGGCTTCCCTCTTGCCAAAGAAATGATGGTCTCTTACTGCCAAGCCATTCAGCTGAATGCCGTGGGAGAACAGCCTGTCCCACGTCAATGGCAGGAGAGAGTTTCATTTTGAGCAGCGCTAAGACAGCAGGAGGAGGGAGTCCTCTCCAGAACCTTAGTCCAGAAACAGCTTCCTCCAAACCTCTTCCTTAGATAAGAAACTCTTGTGTCATCTGCTGCAGCCTGTCTTGTGCAAAGCCAGGCCTGCCTAGGTGGGCTCAGCAATTGAATTGGCATAATCCAATTCACCATAGATCTCCTGCTGCGGGAAGATGCTGTTGGACCCTACTTGGATGCAGCCATTTGCTGGATCTGTTGGGTTACTGAGGGGCCGCCATGCCAGGATAGAGAACTGGGAACCTCAGAAGAAGCTGCTTAACTCGGGAATTATATGGACACTCCTTTGGTTGAACGCTTGTAATTCTTGTGGCCTTGATGAGGGAACACCCCAGTGTCTTCCCCAGGATCAAAGCTGGAAGGGTGCATAAGCCAAGACCTGGGGTCCTCCAACCTCCAGCTTTACCTGTGCAGAAAACCATGTGATTTGCTTCCGAGGAGCAAGCTGGGCAGCTCCATGCCTCAGGTGTGTTTTCTCTTTCTGGGCACCTGCCTAGCCGTCTTTCCCTCCCCACCTTGCGCAGTTTCGCAGACCTCAGTGGCTCGAAATGGAAGGATGCACATCGTTTGCTTCTATACAGAAATCTTTCAAGCCCTTTCTTGCTGTGCCAAAGAATCCACCAATGTATTCAGTCACACACAAAAAGACATTCTCTGTGTGTGCCTGTTTTAAATCCCGAAACAGCGCAGGCCCTTTGCTGATTCCTCGCGGGCAGTTCAGAGGTGCTGAAAAATGGTGCTGAGGAGGCCTCGGTCATCTTCCCCTGCTCTCCGCTTTCGCTTCCTGTCTCCTCCGCTTGGGAGGCCTGAGCGGCTGAAGCCCTTTTGTGTGCACACTTTGGTGCTTCTCATAGCGGAAAGATCAGAGTGCAAAAGCTACTCTGAGAATTGCAGAATCTGTGAAGCAGGACTTTTTAAAACAGCCAGAGAACATTCCCAGGGCTACGTGCAAACTTTTGCTCAGCACAAATCTCTTTTTTCTTAAGTTTGCTTTTTCAAAGAATGGGAGTTGGGAAAACATCACTTAAAAAGGAAACTGAAGAAGGCAAATATCAACCCTGGAAGTAGTACAGAGGTCTTAAATTCTGAAAGTCCCAACAGAAGATGCTTGGCTAAATAAAATCGTGGTAAAGGGCACTCCAGAGGCTAAGCAATAAGGTCGCCTGATGTGGCTACCCAGCAAGGCTCTTCTGTGGCTGCGGTGCCACCCCCGAGAATGCCCTGTCCCCAGAACCACGGGATCTGTCTTTTGAAGTGAAGCTCTTCCAGGCAGGGCAACCATGGGGGATCCCCCAGGTGGGGGATGCTCTTAGGACGGCTCAAAATATCAACGTGTGAGGAGCCGCACCTCGACCTCGTTGGGAACCTCCTGGCAGCAGGCGCAAGCCGAGCTCCATGACGGGAAAGGGTTGCGCAGGCCGCCTGTCAGCCTTCAGCCCGAGTCAGGTCCCTGGCGGATCGGCGGGGGCTGGCTGTCACTTCCAGAGACCAGAAACAGACAGGCAGTGCAGAGCGGCAAGGCTCACGCACACGGGGATCCCGGGGGGCTGGAGGCAGCGGCCGAAATCCCAGGCAGAGCTCGGCACCCACGTTTTCCAGTGCTCACAGAAAGGGGCTGGGCCATCGAGCAGTTACAGCAGCCTATCCCAATCTGGAGACATTCGGCTCTGTAGGACCGCAGTGCCCATCATGTCCGGCACCTGGTGGGGATGATGGGAGTTGCAGTCCCGCCGCTCCGGCAAGCAAGCGCGGGGTTAGCGACGGCTGCTTGGTCCTTGCAAGCAGAGCTGGTGTGTGTGTGTGTGTGGGGGGGGTACTGATGCTGGAGCTTGACTAATGAGAACCCCCTTGGGGTCCAGCGGAAGAAGTTTGCGGAATCGTAAATCGTATTTATTGGAATTCACAGGCCCATTAGAATGCCGGAAGCTCCGTGCCAGAACAGTGTCACTTCACAAATTCTCTCCCTCCCCTTCCTGAGCTAATGCAATTACCTGATTCTGTTTTAATAGCGGTTCCTTGAGAAGCAGGCAAAAGACTGGTTAGGAAAGACGGATCCTTTTGCTTGTTGTGTGGGAAGGCGGAATGGTAGTCGTGGTGTGTCTGGCACGGCGACGGCAACATAAAATCTTTATTAGGTGTCCGGCTCGAATAGTTCTTGGGGTAATAAAATCAACAGCTTTTTTCTTGAGGCCCGTTAAATTAACAGCAAAAACACACCCCAGCATTTGATTCACATTTGTTTAAGGAGCTACTTGAATCCAGAATGATTGCAATAAAATTTTACTCTGGATCACTGAGCCCAGCTTCTTATCGAGGTTGGAGCACCAGTACAAACCAGTAGCATTTACAGAGAACAAAATTAACAGAGCGGGAAACATCTTTGAGGCATCGGCACGCATTAATAACATGCATTAGCTTGCATATTTATTGCGTGAGCCTGAAGGCGAAGCAGCTGACAGCCGAGTCGCAGTTGGTAGCAGAAGCGGCCGAGGCACATTTTTCTCTCCGCTCGCTTATATAGTTCATTTGGCCTCCCTCATCATGCATATAATTAAGAGGCCCAATCATTCTGCCTGTCATTCCTGACAGCTTTCTCAGGCCCTGAATCCATCCTCACTTCTGGCACTGCGCGGACCTCCTTGTCCCATCCCTGCAGATGCCGGCTTGCCTCTCGGTGCAGCACAGGGAGCCTCGGAGGGGTCTGTGCAGGCTGCCCGTCTGCGTTATCCCGGTTTCCCCGAAGCAGCTGCCATGCACGATTCTGCACGGACACCTCGAGCCACCAGACTTCAAGCCACCAGTCCCTGTTGCTCATATTGCCAGCAGCAACACCCCAGGGCCTTCCGCCGCCGGGACCATCAACCCCGTGCCTTGCAAAATGTCCAGGTTGCCACTGCGTAGCAACCACACACGCAACCCCCAAAGTGACCGAAGTCGCCGACTCTCGCAGCCACCGCTTCCCCAGCCTGCAACTGGGACTTTCCTTTGTCCAGTGTAGAAAATTTTTATTACTGAGTTATTTATTTGACGCTTTTCTGTTCCGTCCCATACTTAGACATCTCGGGAAGGTTTGCAATGAATTAATTCTAAAAATACGGAATAAAAGTAACAGTTGCCCAGCAGCCAATGTTAAAATATAAACCCACTACTAAAACAAGCTAACAGTTGAAAGACTGGGAGAATAAAAAGGGTTTTGCCTGACACCGAAAAGAAAAAAGTGTTGGTGCCAGGCAAACCATTCTGGGGAGTGTATTCCACAATCGGGGTGCCACCACAGAGAAGGCCCTCCTCCGGGTAGCCACCCTCCTGATCTCCTTCAAGGAGGGCTCCCGGAGCAGGGCCCCCTGCCTCAGATCTCAAGGGCTGGGAGGGCACATCGGGGAGAAGGTGCCCCTTCAGGTATCCAGGACCCAAGTCCTTTAGGACTTTAAAGGTCATCACCAGCACCTTAAATTGGGCCCGGACTTCAACTGGCAGCCAGTGCAACCAACAGAGAACCGGCGTTGTGTGTGAAAACCAGCCGGTCCCCGTCAGCAACCTGGCAGCTCCATTCTGAACCAATTGAAGTATCCCAGCCATCTCCAAGGGCAGCCCCACATGGAGCGCATTGCAATAATCCAGTCGGGAAGTTTCCATAGTGTGGTTGCTAGAAAATCGGCCCATCCCATCCCACCCCACCACCCCTCCTGCCCAACGTGGAAAGGCTGCCTTTCCCCTGAGACCTAAAGCCCCAGTGGCCTCTTGCTGT